GGGGGGGGGTGTGTGGAATTTTCAATTGTGCCATGCTGAAGTTGTCCTGTCTAAGAAACAACTAGACTCCAATTCATTTACTCTTAAGGGTCGTTTGGTATGAGTTATAAGAAGGTATAGTGCTGGTATAAAAATTTAATACTTCCTTAGTACTTCGTTTGGTTAGCAAACCAGGTATAAGTTATCCCATGATTAAAATTAACACCGGAATAACATATACCTTATAGAGGGTGGGGTAATTAGCACCGATATAACTTGTACATTCTTCTTATAAATTATGTCATTGTCATATTTAATACAGTATACCAAACAATGGATAAAAAATAATCCCAGCATAACTTATCCCGACATAAGCCATATTCAAACCAAACGACCCCTTAATATTATGTTCTTACAGTTCAGTTACTTCAGTAGTAGCATTTACCTTTTAAGGGATTTTAGAACAGTGCAGGGATAGATATCTGGTTCAAGAGCATTAGATGAGATGGACAAAAAAGTTAGCAGATTATACCATACTATGCAATGCTTTAAGAAGCTCCATAGCCTTTCAATAGCAATTGCAATTTAGTTTGTGGTAGAACAGAGAAATTTTACGCTGAAGTCTAGAAACATCCTGATAATAAAGATGTAGGCAACAAATAATACAGATGCAAACAATTCGTACCAAATAGCGAACCTATTACCTATATCACGTGTTGACTGTATGAAATTAATGAAAATCAAAGTTTCAACTTTCAATTAGTCTGCTTGTACATATTGAATTACTCAAAATGATGCAGGATATTTTTCTTCATTCCTGCTTCTTTTTTCCCTTGCTGTGGGAGGTGCAAAAATGAAACTTATAAAAACCTGCTAAAAATATCACCGACAATGAAGAGATTGCTCTCTTAACTGTGAGATGGTTGATGTATCAATGGAATGATTTAACATGGAAAATCTGACACCTAGACTTGTATCCATCGTTCGCTGCAGCCTTCTCAAACTTTTTCATTGCAGCATCGTTCTCTTGTAGACTGGTCTGCACAAAGAAGCGAGCCCACCAAGAAGAGCTCCGCATTTTTGCCTTTACATGGAAAGCAAATACTTTTGTCAATTCTTTTATTTATCATTTCAGAGCAGAATAAACAACGGAAAAAGTGATACAGAAACCATATTATTGTAAGATAAGAGAATGAAGTACTTGGTATTGCAACATCAGTTTTCTAGTTTGTTTTATAATCTTACCACTTAATCTTTCAAGTATCTTTTGCTTAACGAAATAAAGTACCAAAACAGTAAGCTCTCTGCAACTGCAGAAAGTATTTCAACCAATAAAAATCTAACCTTGTCTCTGTCACTCAAAAATTCATGAGAGATGCTTCTTAGAAGCGGTCACTACCCAACAAGAGGAAGTTTATACTTTTGATCACTTTTTTCACCATCAATCATCAAAAAAGCAACACCTGACCAACTTTTATGTTGAATTCGCCAGAAATAAATTCCAGTCAACTTGTGAATTCAACTTCATTAATATACAAGAAACATCACTCATATATTGGTATCTATACGCATTCAATTGAAGTAACCTACTCTAGTAGGACATGGAGTACCACGATAGGAAGAAACTGAAAGTGCAAGTAACAACGAGTAAATGTATCAACAATCAACTGACAACAATTACCAAACCCAAACAAGTGATAACTGAATGAAGAGATTGTGACTTACAGGACGTCCAAACTTGGATAGCTCAGTGACTTTAGCTCTGGAGTGACCAGGGTAACCTGATAATTTAGAACAATAGAAAAATTAATATATGAGCAAGTAAAATGAACCACAAAGTGCTTTTAATAACAACACATGTTCTCCTCATGGTACCTAGGAGGGAAATATATTTATCTCTGAAAAGCAATTATTTCAATTAACCAAGTGCTGTATGGAATTGAGAGCGCTAGGCAATTAACTTACATTAGAAACTGTCTTACAGATTTCCTTTTTCCTTTTTCCCTTTTGAGGGGAGTAGTGGTTAGCTTATAGAGGGGGTTGCCCGAAACTGACCAAATTCTTTGGAAAGGCAGCTGCTATCACCACCACCTACCCACACAAAAGAAGGAACTATCCATCGTTGGCTTTATTAGAGCATTTATTTATCATAAACAGAATAACTAGATCTCTCTCTCTCTCTCTCTCTCTCTTTTAACTTTTTGATTGGTAAACCCCACCCCGCCAAATCCCCTGCCCAGGAGTCAAAAGGACCCTTTCCCACTTTGCTTC